AATAGAAAAAAGCATCTGAAATCCAATTAATAAAAAGAAGGCTTAATTAAAAAAACAAGTGTCTAAATTATTATTATTTTTCATTTAGTGCTTAGATTTTTTATTTGTTAAAGTATGTGCTATGTTTTATCAGTTTTCATTTAAGGCTATTCTATTATGTCCCTTAACAAAATTATCTACTAAAAATCTAAAAAAAAAAAACATAATTAAGATACTAATTTTTCAAACCTGTCAATGCTTTATTTTATAATTATATAATTTTTAAAGGGTATAAACTGAAATTCTATTATGTTGGGGGTTTAAATCCGATTAACACAAATATGAAAATATCTTACACTTTTGTTTTTTTCCTATTCTTATCCTCTACCCAACTTAACATTTTTCTTGAACTATAACGATAGCTATGAAAATTGACACTTTCTATAACTTCTTCTCATTTATTTATTTATTTTATTAATCTATAGTAAATATAAGATAGTATTTGTTTAAAAATAATTCTTAATTACTTGACGTTAAATGCTCACATTTCTAACATTCATGATACTCAAACTCAAAAATTAAAAAAATAATTATTATTATTTTATCATCGAGATCACTTCATTTATGCACCTTCTTATGAATATGAAATTAAACTTCTCTCAGCCGCATGCTCCTCTTTTTACTTTATTATTTTTATTTGTATATATAAAAAGCTATCAACTTGACCCTCCACATTATCTTCAACATAATTATAATTTGTGGAGGCCCACTCCATTTCACAAGCTTATCGCCATTTTGATAACATCTACTTATCATTATATATAAGCTTAGTTTATAAATTATACCTATTTTCTTTATGCATAAACTTTTTCAGTCAGTTTACGTGTTTAATATTTTTTTTAATGTTATTAATTAAGTGTCTTAGCCGTAATAGACACTAAAAGAATTCCGCCAACCATTCAAAAAGCGACTTATGATATGTTTATAATTTTTAAAAAATTAAAATCATTATTATTACTCATCAAAAAAAAATCCAAATATAAAATGTCAAGAAAAATCTCAAAATCTTTAATCTCAAAGTATTCACTCCACCCGTCAATCATCTACCGTCTTTGCAGCCCTCACCGATCGCCTATCCACCCCTCCTTGACCGCGTAGCTTCAAACCCCCAAATCCTTAAATCTCAACACACGTCCATTTCAATCGTTGGGTAAGTAGTTGGTGGATCGGTCAGTGATCATCGGCGGTGGTGGTGAACAACGTAGAAATTGAAGGTCTTGAGGCATTAATGAAAATATGAAAAGTTTGGGATTTTCTAAAGAAAATATAATTTTATTTTTTAAAAAAATTAAAGAAAATAAAAAATCAAGTCACGAATCAAATATTGATTGATTGACTGATTTTTAATGGGTTTTTTTAGCAGTCGTTTTGGCGTGGACAATTAAATTATAATGTTAGAAATATTAGACACCAAAACTAATCGGAAAAAAATTATGCACCTAAATGAAAAAGAAGTATAGTTTGAGCAATTTTTTTATTAAGACATATATATTCATGCTTGAGTTAGTTTAACTAATTAACGTTATGCATATGAAATGCCTTCGTGTTATAATAATAGGTAAATTATGTCTTTCATCATTCAACTTTGTCTATGTTTTTATTTGGTTATTTAATTTAAAAAATAATTTAATCATTAAACTTTTAAATTATTCCTATTTTGATCACTCGTGGTTAAATAAAAATGATAGAGTGGTATGGACGGTTTTATACTGATATGAACTATTTTTTCCTGACGTAAAAGCCAGTGTTGTTTATCTCATTTTTTCTTTTTGATTTCATCTTCTTCCCCAAGATGAAATTTTAAAAGTTTCATATTTCATTCTTATGCCATGTCGGTGCTGAAATTTATGTTCTATGATGTCTTCTTCGACTACTCAGATACCGACAAACTTCTCACATCATCTCCTATCACTCTATCAATTTAGATTTTTTTTTTCACAATCTCTTTAAAACTAGTGAAACTCAACCTAAAATGCATAGAAAAACGACTCGAATTTATAATCTCTATCATTCAATTAGCGTGGAGGAATCAGAATATAAAACTCATCTCCTCCTCCTTCACCTCGTTGGGATTTGAAATAAGATGCTTCAGTGTCAAAAAAAAATCAAAAGGAATATGAAAAATTATGTTTGAGAGATTTCATGGTTTTTTTTCACAGAAAATGAAGAAAATTTCAGGGCTTTTCAATATTTTAAAAATAGATGTCATATCATAACACCGTTAATTATTTATCGATATGATGACCAAAACATGAATAGTTTAAAAGTTAAATGACCAATTCAAGAATACGGACAAAATTGAGTGATGAAAAACGTAGTTTACCCTACAATTATACATATGCATATGAATAGTAATGTTCAGCAAACAATGCATTCAAAGGGGTGCAAGAGGACTTAAGAAAATACTAAAAAAAATTTGGCTTCAAATTTAGGAACTTACAACGATGTTGCTCTTTAGCCATAGAAAGCTCCAATCCAGACACTGCTGAGAAAACTGCACATACCAAAACATCTCATTCACCAGTTAACCCTCCAAAAACAACTCCGCGATCTTAATTTAAATCCCAGACTAAAATTTTCCGATTATAAATAGGAAAGAGAAGCAGATTGAATGTACCAGAAATTGCAGGTGTTAGGACACCATCTCCAATGACCATGCAAGTCCCAATCAAAGCCAAAACAAGCAAAAGCGTTTGCAGCACTTTGTGTTTCTCCAGAGTTGATTTCAGAAAGCTCTTACCATTTCCATCTCTTTTGTATTCTGATAACTCCTCATCTGCAAGCTGGCAATTCGGCAATGAACACAGCCTTGCATGTCTGCAGAGCAAAGAATACAAGGCAAAAGTCCCACCCTCTCCATTATCATCAGCTCTCAGCACAATGAAAACATATTTCAGTAATGGCATCAGTGTTAATGTCCAGAACACAAATGACAAAACCCCATAAATCTCTTCGTTTGTGTCAGAATGGTGAATATCCTCTGCAAATGCACTCTTGTACACGTACAGAGGAGAAGTGCTTAAATCTCCATACACAACGCCTAAGCTTTGATATGCCAAAGTTAACACGGTCTTCCATGATTCCTTCTGCAAAAAAACCAACAACAAATGAAGCTGAGAGTTTTGAAATGAAGATTCTTTCTTCACAAACACTGCCACATGCCTTACCTTGATTGGTCTGGTGCGGATTACACCTCCAAGATCCATCATGAAACTACCCAGTTCTTAAAACTTCATTGAAAACAGAGTATGACAAGAACCAACAAGTGAAACACACAAAAGGGTGCTTGGAAATTAAGTAGGTGAAGAACCAGGCAATGTGGACAAAGCCAAGACCAAACATCAAACACCTTATGGGCGTAAAAATATATGTTGACAGAGAGGATGGTATTTTGAGTTGCAAGAATCAAAGAATATTATGGGGGAAAGTTTGGTTTTAAAGACAGAAATGGTGAGCTTTGAAGATTAAAAACTTGGGATTTACAACTTTTTTTTAGGTTAATTGAATCATATGTCCCCAAACTATAACTTTTATTTTAAATTGATCCTTAAACTTTTGAATATCTCAATTTCATCCCTAAACTATGACTCTCATTATAAATTAGTCCGTAAATTTTTTAACATTCTAATTTCATCACTAAACTATGACACTTTTTCTAAATTGGTCCCCAAACTTTTGAATATTCCAATTATATCTCCAAATTCATCCAAATATGTAATTACTTTCAACCATAGTTTAACCTAAAAAAAAATTCAAACATATAATTGTATAACTTGGCCTAACGATTTTATTAACAAGGTATATGCGTATAGTTTGGGATGAAATTGGAATGTTCAAAAATTTTGAGAACCAATTTAAAATGAAGGTCATAGTTTGGGGATGAAATTGAAATATTCAAAAGTTTGAGGACTAATTTAGGATGATAGTCATGGTTTAGGGATGAAATTAAACATTTTAAAGTTCAGGGTCCAATTTAAAATGAAGATTATACTTTGTGGACCTGTGATACACTTAACTCTTTTTTATTTGAATAGTCAAAATTAAAATGGGACCATCAAATCGTGTGATTCATGAAAACCTAGTTTCTCCCTTCATTTCTGGTAAACCAAATTTTCATTTCTCGTAAATCAAGCTTAACTCTATTAACAAGTCCTAAAAATTATAAATTCAAATGGATTCAAGCATGATTACTTTTAATTTAGAAATTAAAAAAAAATCTTGTTTAAATATTATATAAAAATTATTTATTTTAATAAAAATAAAATTATTGAAATATTAAAATCTGATCTTTAAAGTTATTGATCAACACTAGTTCTGATAAAATTCACACTCGAAAGAAGCAGAAGACCTCTGTCCACGACATGCAAGGCTCTGAAGCAAGATGCTGGGGATCGATTGACGCAGAATGTTGCGATTGGTGGAGCTATTGCTTGGACGCCACCGTTGGAAAGCTGGTTCAAGGTTAATTCTGTTGGTTCACGTCGGGAAAGTGATGGGAAAGCTTCTTGTGGGGGTGTTATTCATGACCGTAATGGCGTGTGGTTGATGGGATTTAAAAAATTCCTTGGCATTTGTTCGGTCCTTGAGGCGGAGCTGTGGGGGGTGGTCGGACTCCACTACGCTTGGGATTTTGGCATTCGGAAAGTAATAGTTGAAACGGACAGCTTGCATGCTATTAAACTGCTTAAAGATCGTAAAAATAGCTATGAAACTTTGACTATATTAGCACATATTCATGGTCTGCTTGGTAGAAAATGGGAGGTTCGGGTTCAACATGTACTCCGACAAGGTCCTTTAAGTGCTTGTTGGAAGTTCATTGCGGTCTTTGTTTTGTTTTATTATGAGGTTGTAGACTCTTGTATAGGTTTGCCTGTGTTTTTTTTTCTTATTATCATCATGTGTACTCTTTTTCTTTAACTACATGATAATAATTTCTTATTCATAATGTATATATATATATATCTAAATAAATAATTTAAAACCATATAAATTTAAATGTTAAATTTAAAATGAGTCAACTGACTTAAATAAATATAAATGATCAACTTAAGTGATTCAAACCTAAGATGATACAAATATAAAATGACAACATAAATAATAATAAATGAAGGATAAAAAAATGTTTATACAATTTAATTTTTCTCTCAATATTTTTGTGAAGCTTTTTTTTTCTTTGATTTTTATTTAGTTGGCGACGACACCAATCTTAATATTGGTTGTTAACCGTCAGTGATTATTATTTTTCTTGTTCTTTTTCCTATTATGTCATTTTTTTTCTTAATTTTTTTTAATTTTAAATAAGAATCTTTATTCTTTGACACGCATTTCTATGCTCTTGTGGCACGTTTTTTCTCTGCTCTTATAACACGTTCCTTATGGCTTTTGGTACATTTTTTGCATACCTCTGTGATCGTGTTTGTACTCGCACAAAAATCCTCAAGACATTTGTTTTATGATTGGTTTGTATGTGGTCACGTATTGTCAAATTCACTCTTTAGTAAAAGGTTGTTTGTTGATACAATCAAAATTGTGTAGCAAAGCAGTCTGCCAAATTGTTTGGTTCGCTCAACACTCCATTATCACTTTGTAAAACGTCTCTTTTGACAAAGACAAAGATTTTTATTAAGGTTACTAAGTTCTTTTAATGTTTGATGTCATTCTAAATGGAATGTTTCGTTTTCTTTTATATCTTTGGATTTAATATTTTTGTTTTATGTACAAGTTTTTTTTGGTGATTATTGTCCCTAATTTTCTCTCTATATTTAGGTGCATTATAATTTTAATTCATTCCATTGACTTTATTGATGAAATTCACTCGTCAGTGTTAAAAAAATGTTTACATTCGTACATATATATGCAATAAAACAAAGATAAATTATATGTTTAGTATCTAAATTATCATTTTTTTCTGATCTGTTCTGGGCCCAAACTTTTTTTTTCAAAATCATACACAACGTTTAGTTTATGTTTTATTTTGATACCCTACTGTTAAAAACTTAACGGTGATGTTACGTCTCACCATAATAAAATGTTACATCATCATTGAAAAATATTAAAAAATATCATGTCAGCAATTCTATTATTTTTTAACAGTGGGTACCAAATTAAAACTTAAAACTAAACATTAGGTATGATTTTTGAAAAAATAAAGTTTAGGTACCAAAATGGAACAAAAGTAATAGTTTAGTAACTAAATGTTTAGTTTACCCATTAAAGAAACACGTTGGTCCAACGAGGTGCGCAAGCAGGTATTTGTCATTTCAATATTTTATTAGTGGGTGAGATCACTTTCCACTACCCGTTCTGTTTCTTGTAAGAACCCTACCTTTCCTTTTGTTTTCTTTAGCTTTTTCTATATTTTGATTTGAGGTTTGGATTTGTGAGGCTTAATGACGGATTTAGTCGCTTTATTATCTTAAAATTTGATATTCAATTTTTTTTTTAATTAGCAAGTCCAATTAACAACATTATTAGGTGATACATTTTTTTTATTAACTTAAGATGATTACATAATAATATTTGTTCTAAAGATTCTAAATCATTTAACAATAAAAGTTTAAACACTCTTCCAGTCTCTGGTCTCGAACCTAAAAGCTTTAGAGACAATAATCATCTCTTTAATCACTGAAGTAGTTTTGTTTGTGCAGGTGATGCTGTTAAAGTCATGTTACTGTATTTAAAAAACAATTTTAAATCTTTAGTATATAAATTTATTATCGGTTGAATATAGTTGACTAAAATTGAGAGGAATAAAAATCATACTATGCTATACATTTAAACCTATGAATGGCTCTGTCCCTGATTAATACAATATAAAAATGGAGTGATCAAATTATGCTAAACAAAATAAATTGATTGAATCTCAAACTTCAATATAATAAAGACACTCAAACGTAATTAAACCAGTTTTTATGATAACCTAGTTGGATCCCATTTACGCTGTTCTTGTATTTCATCATACATGATTCTTTTTGATGCTTTTGCAAAAGAAAATTTATTAGGATGTGACCTTAAGGAATCATATATTTTATGATTTTTTGTAATATTAAAATTTGTACCAAATTCATATATTTTTATTCTGATGGAAAAAAAATTGTCTGTAAGATATTTTAAAATTTAACGCGATAAAAAAAATAAAAACAAATTATATACAAAGAGGATATCAGAATCCATTATCTGTGAAAGTAAAACAATAATAAATATCCAAATCATAATATGTTATCTTTAGTAATAACGTGAATTTAGATAACAATTATATGTTGCCCCCCTAAGTAGGAGTGATGACATGTCTATGATAGCATTATGAATCACGAAACTTTTTCCTTTGAAATATTCATATTTTATACACGTGTTTAAATATAAATACGTGAGTGTATATGTACGAATTAAGTGACTTTAGTGGTTAAGAGATTATTGTAATCTCTTGAGGTATTGTGTTCAAATGATCATCTTTAAATAATACTATCTTAAATTTACCTCATATTTATCAAAAAAATTATATATATAAAAAAATTAATATAATTATTTATTTTATTGATATTTTAAAATTCACTCATATTTGAGTAATATAATTTCGTGAACTATTAAGGTAAGATAGCGGTTTTAATTTTGATTTTATAAATAAAAAATAAAATAATCATTTTTATAATTGATTTTTTATAATACTAAATCAAAATTAACTAATTAATGAATTAAATATTAATAATTATAAAAAAATAGACTTAGAACTGGAACCAGTAACTTTTTGGAACTCATAGCATAGGATAACATAGTAGTCTAAGCTCCAACTGTAATTAAGACAGAAACAAGTTGGGTAAGAAAAAGCAAAACATAGAAGTAATTACTGGCAATTAATAACCATATTAACTGCCAAATGGTCCAACTCAAAGTCAAACCTTTTTTGACAAAATAAGTGGTGTGTATTAAAGCAATATAATAATAATAATAATTGCATTAAGATAATCGTATTAAAAAAAAAAACTCTTTAATTTATTTGCTTTGCTCCCATCAATTGGAAGTTGCCCTCAAAACTTGCAAGTGTGGCTGACGGTGAAAACAAAGTTTTAGGTTTTGTTTTAATAAATTAGTTGAATCATAAATTTGATCAAATTATATAAAAGGGATAGGATCATGTTATAGTACATATAACTCTTTTAATTTTACACAGATTTAAGATTGTTGGATGAGTGAAAATAGATTTTAAGTGGGTCTTCTCATTTCTTACTGTTAATCTCAAACATCTATTTTCACTCATCCAACGATCTTAAATCTGCGTAAAATTAAAGAGTTTTATATTGTGTAAGTGGATCCTAACCCTATATAAAAATATATATTAGATATTGATTCAAAATTTAATTAAAAATTTAATTAGTTTTTGTTGTAATTCTATTGGTTGAAAATTACTTGGTGATTAAAATTTTTAGTTACGAGAGAGAATTATTTGGGAGAGATGTAATCATTTTATAGTCATTGTAACTTTTGGAG